TACACACCTCTGCACTCTGCTCTGTGCCTTACTTACTATTGACCTCTGCATTCTGCGTTACACCACTGTGCCTTACTTACACTGTGTTACTTACTATTGACCTCTGCATTCTGCGTTACACCACTGACCTCTGCACTGTGCCTTACACCACTGACCTCTGCACGCTGCCAGACACCACTGATCTCTGCACTCAGTGTTACTTACTATTGACCTCTGGATTCTGTGTTACACCACTGACCTCTGCACTTTGCGTTATACCACTGACCCCTGCATTACACCACTGAACTCTGCACTCCGTGTTACTTACTACTGACCTCTGCACTATAGGGGGGATTTATGAAAACTGGAGTAGACGGAATCTGGAGAAGTTGCCCATAGCAGCCAATCAGTTTCTGTCGTCAGTTTGTTCAATTAAGCTTTGAAAACAAGAGAGTGAAGCTGATTGATTGCCATGAGCGACTGCTCCAGTTTCCATCTGTGTGTTACCACAAACCTCTGCACTCTGCATTACAAACTACTCACAGAAGAAGCCAAAGGAGAGTGGAGCAAAACTGGATGCAGATCACTGCACCATCGCTGGCCAAGTCACTGCACCATGGGCCTCTGGGTTGTACTTGCCCCCTGGGTCAAAAGTTGCCAGTCAGCCCCTGTTAGGCGTGCATTATATGTAACATACATTAAAGCAAAAATCTAATCACTTTCTAAAAAAAATAGAGGAATTATTTTCTTATTCATCACTCCCTCAACAGCTGGTGCTCTCGTCCACACCCACAATGCGGGAGGGCCCTCAACATTCCCATGTACAATGCAGGGCCTGCTTTAGTTTAATTTCATAAGTAAGATTTTTTTTTTTTTTCTTAAAGTAAAAGATCCCAAATGGATACATAATCATAGCACTAACTTTTTTAAAATGTTTACTTAACTATTGACATACTCTCTGTTTAACCCAACAGTAGTATAGCTATAGAAATCTATTGTTACCTATACTGGTCTATTCTACTCAGCATGCTTGATCTCCTACAAAACATATGATGTAGGAGAGGAATGTCACCATAAAAAATATATATATTAAACGTAACCACATTATTATTTCTAGTATTTATTTATCGCTGACTTAATACACAGAACTATCTAAATCATTCGGATCAGTTACTGTCCTCTGGAAGCTCTCAATCTAACATCCCTTAAGTATACAGGGAAAATGCAAAACATCCCTTGCAGTGGGGCTGCCCCCACACTGCAAGGGTTAAATTATTGTTTAGGTCTAGGGCAGGGGTAGGCAACCTTGGCTCTCCAGCTGTGCTGAAACTACAAATCCCATAAGGCATTGCAAGCCACAGGCATGACTCACAGAGGCAGAGGCATGATGGGATTTGTAGTTTCAGCACAGCTGGAGAGCCAAGGTTGCCTACCCCTAGTCTAGGGTATCAGCCAAGGCAGTTTTACTTAAGCTGGCCATACACCTATAGATTATCTGTAGTATATGGTCAGATGAAAAAAGTGCAACAGATTCCTCCATCTATGCTAAACTGTGTGGATGGAGGAATCTCCCACTGAGCCAAGCTTCAGTATTTTGGTAGTTGGCCCCACTGGTTCTCAAAATATCTGAACAATCTGATTGGATGCAGGCATTGCTCGGGTGTTTTGAGAGCCAGCGGGGCCGGCTCGCAAGATACTTAAGCTTGGCCCAGTGGGATATTCCTCCATCCACACATTTTACCGTAGATGGAGGAATCTGTTGCACTTTTTCCATCTGACCAGAGAAAATATGCAGATAATGCATAGTTGTATGGCCAGCTTTACCTGATCCCTGCTCCCCTGGCAGTCTGCGCTCACCTTACCTCCTCTGTGCTCCGGCTTGTAGACTGTCCCTCAGTGTCGTCATGTAATAATGCAGGTCTAAAAGTGGCCATACACTGTGCGAATTTGCACAGTGGGTGCCGCTGTCAGCACCCTTATGGCCTGCATCCCTTGATCAACTGATCAAAGGAGACGGTTGGAAAATCTTCGTGCATAGGCCGCTGTCAGAATACAAAATATACAGCATGGATTCCTCGATCAATGCGCTTGTTTCGTTGATGAAGGAATCTGCTCTATTTTTTCATCTGCCCGCGGGTTGCATGAAAAAAATAGATCAGTGTATGGCCAGCTTAAGGGTCCTGCGTTATACTGATGACGTCAGTGGTCCTCCAACCACCAGAGCATGGGGGATGGGGGGAGGGGGAGTGTAAATGGGACGGGTGTTGGTTTTGTTGCACGGAGGGAGATTTGGGGAAGTAAAGGTCCTTTTTCCCTAGACCAGGGGTGGCAAACTCAAATTCATCGGGGGCCGCATCAGCAGTATGGTTACCCTCAAAGGGCCGGTTGTATAGGACTATGCATCTACTCTTTATTATCATAAATAGTTGCCTCTGCATTCAGTTGCTACTGGCTTAATAATAATTTAAGTAATAACTAGCCTTGAAAACATCCACAAGAAACTTTATTGGAGACTGCTCAGACTGCAGCAGAAATCCCTAATCTGGCGTTTTCAGTCACCTAGTCAAGTTAATGATCAGGTGACAGCAGCTCCATGTAAACGCATGCACACCGCATGTAATGATACGTGATATGACTACATGCGTCCAGGGAGAGTGATTGATTCCTAGCGGAATGTAAACATATCACGTATCTTTACATGCGGTGTGCAGGCGTTTACATGCAACTTCTGTCACCTGATCATTAACTTAGGTGACAGCTGCCATTTGTAAAACGCCAATTTAGGATTTCTGTTGCAGGAAAACGCAAGTTCCTGACGCAGAAATCCCTAATTGCACCTAAAATAAAGGTGTGATAAATAAGTATTCAAGCCCTGCTGTGTGAGGGCAGCCCCACTACAAATTGAGTTTTTTGCTTTTCCCAGATTTCAGCTGACCATACACTATACAATGGGATTGTAGATCTATCCCCGAGTATGCAGTGCAAAGGCCTGCCTGAGTGGATACATATTGCATGGATTGTTTAGGCTCGTCCTCATATTACATAGTTTTTGTAAATCTAACTGAGATTGTGCAAACTGATTGTATGGGATGTGGCCAGCTTTACACACTAATGGGTCAATTTGGAAAGTTGTCAGTTAACCTACCAGTACACTTTTGGATTGTGGAAGGAATCTGGAGCACCTGGAGGAAACCAACACTTAACAAGGAGAACAAGCAAGCTCCATGCAGATTGTGTCCCATTGAAGTTGTTAGATGATATAATAATAAATGAAAATAACATCTGAAAAAAAGAAGTGTTCCTAAAATGCTGATACTGAGATCTGCAGCAAACCCTAGGATGTATATAAAGACCTGAGCCAAATCCTGAGATGCTCTAGGTATGCCGGTGTCACAGTGTGGGCCCTTGGTTCCCCCTGTTGTAAATGATGTTACCCCTGTTGCTACATCATGGTGCCACTCTGTTACACATCTGTTCAGAAGGAATATGCAAGAAATAATGTTGTGCTTGTGAGCATAAGCAGCGACAGCCTGCCTACGCATAGCCAATGTTTCTATAAATGAATAACGAGCCTATTGTCAGTAAAGCCTACGCACAATAATATCATGGGGTCTTGTGAGGGGCCTTACAAAGTAACATGGCACAATACGCAGTCATGACTTAGTTCCCCTTTTATACAGAGATGGTCTCATCCACAGTGTCATCAGCGTTAAAGGGAACTTCGTTCTCTTCTCTGCGCGGGTGGCGTACAGAGGAAGTATTCAAGAGGAAGGTGGCATATTAAGTATTCAAATCTGAATGACCTTACTTGGAAAATTATTTAGCAAATGAAAACTACCCAGTTCCTACTATGAGAAGCTAACCGCTAGCCAGACACCACTAGCATCCTTCTCAGAGACCACGCCTGTGCGAGCAGATGAATGTCACCTTAGCCTGTAGGCCTACTAAATGCTCCTTCTGAGGAAAATGCTTTCACGTTTCATAATGTTCCATAATGCCGTTGTGGAATTTGCTACATTCTGCAGATATCAGCCTTATACATTTTGCAGAAATGCACAGAATGGCGATTAATACAAAAGTCTTTATGTGCAGCACTGCTAATATGAGAACAGGAAACACATTTCCTGTGTAACTACCTCTTTACCACACATCTTCATGCAGCGTTGCATTGGTTAACCCTTTCGGTGCTGGAGCATTCTGCCATGAGAAAATGCAAGCCAGGCTCAGTTCAGTTTTCGAAAAAAACAAACACATGTTGGATCCATCAGTAATCTCTGCCAGACACAGGCTGGGGAAGGGGGGGTCTTAAACAGACTTTTTAAAAGAACTTCCCAAACAGCAGACAGTATGTGTGTGTGCAATAGGGGAACAAGAAGTGGAATGTGTACTTCTCCTTTCTGTAACTGCAGGATGGACGCAAGATTTTTTATCAATTCATGTTAACGAATAAAATAATTATGTTTGTTCCGTGCACAAAAGTGTACGTTTGGGACATGCAGGATGCATGTATTATTCATCAGCATCTGTATGCAGGAAGTCCTGCTCAGGCTCTTTATTTAATGGAATAATCAAAATGCAGTATGTGCAGCATCTCCATATTAAGTATTGACAATAAAGCTAGAAAGAACACTACATTTCCCTTTAGATTGTAAGATCTCAAGAACAGGGCCGACCCAACCCTGAGGTATTGGATTGCTTTGTAGCTGTACTGTCTCCCTCTATTTTGTAGAGCACTGCACAAACAGTTGGCTCTATACAAATCCTGTATAATATTATTAATCAGAATAGTAATAATTTCATATCTGTTCAGCTACATACAGAGATCGGCTGTGCATGATTCTGCTGCCAGATTTAAAAAAAGACAACAACAAAAAAATCAAACGCAATAGTGATCCAGCAAATCAATGAATAATCTAAAGCAGTTTCTTGTTCACTGTGAAGCAGTGGTGTACAGACTGGGTGGAAGTGAAGAGTTAATCGTCATTGGTGATGTCATTGCTGATTAGCATAGAGGAGGTTATATAAAAGCAGGGACAGCTCATCCCTTTCACACTCAAGGCTGCATCTTGGAGGACTAGTTCTGCTTCTTGTGTGTGTTACATAGCTGGTAAGTCTCGCTCGGTTGCTGCTTTTGATTTTGCCATTATACTGTGTTCTTTTGTTGCTAGATGCAATTCAGTTTATTGCCTGTTCTTAGCTAGCAGCCTGACCCTAATCGCAGGCTATTTGCTTAGCATCTGTAAACTCCCTTTGTCCTTGGGCTGGAGGCTTCAGACCTGTATTTGCATGTAAATTTCCATGCTCCCGTTATCTATACAAGTTATATTAACTAGGACTTGAATTTTGTAAGCAGCTAAGCAATGGCAGTCATGGCTTATTATGCTGGATTTATACAGTGCCAACAGTTTGCGTAGCGCTTTACAAAATAAAGGGAATGTATAGCTGCAATGCAAGATGGATAGGAGGGCTATGCTAGTGAGCTCACAATCCAAAAACCCTTTCCTTTTTATTAGGAACTGTCCTTGGCAGGCGGTATATGCAGTCATGCTATTCTGAATTGTCTTGATCACTGATCTTAAAGGCAGAGGCTTTTGATAGCCATGCTAGAAGGTTGATTTGATAAAAAAAGAAAAAAGGGGGTTTTGTAGACGTGATTGTGCAACGAGCGGGGGCAGGAGCAGATTTGGGCGGTGGTTAAGGTTCCTTGGGCTGGAGCTGCAGCTCTTTGTAAGAAAAGAAGAATGCATGACTTCATCTGCCAGCAAGAGACTGCTGCCCCGCCATGCTGCACCCTCATTAACATATGCTATGTGCCCATGGCTGGCATGCTTCCAGCTTATTGATTAGCTCACTGTGAGCCTAAAGAAAGCCAGTCTGCTCATGCAGGAAAGGTGCCAGCTATTTTTTTACCAGTTTGCATTTACATCTTTTATTGTTTCCCTGTATATATTAGTCTGCGTTGCTAATTCTATCCCTAATGTTTGAGTGCTCAAACCACTGGGCTGAAATGGCTTAAGTGGGGAAGTGAGGGCGTGGCAGGTACTCTTATATGAAGTGACACTTTTTTTTTTTGTGATGCAAGGATGGCGGCGCTCTAATTTTTTTCTTCTTTCCCTTTTGTGCAGATCAACCTACAAAATGTCTGACAAACCAGATATGGCTGAGATTGAGAAATTCGATAAGGGCAAGCTGAAGAAGACAGAAACACAAGAGAAAAACCCCCTTCCTTCTAAAGAAAGTAAGTGTTGAGGATCAACATGATTGACAGTTAAATGGCTTGGATGACAACTTTGGCTTTTAATTCCTTTTTATCTAAATTTTAATAATTATTTTTTTCCTTTTTTAGCAATCGAACAAGAGAAGCAAGCGTCTGATTCCTAATGAAACCCACCACCTCCCCCCTCCCAATATGCACTGTACATTCCACAAGCATTGCCTTCTTATTTTTTCTTCTTTTAGCTGTTTAACTTTGTAAGAAATAACTAAGATACAAAGAGGTTGGAAACCGTTTACTATGCTGCCCCGTTCCACCAAACAGAAAAGAGTTAAAAAAAAATATAAAAAAAAATAAAAAACTACTGAACACTGAACGAAGGCGTTGCCTTTCCATCTGCCTGTCCGGCTGGCTTTGGTTCTGGTGGCATGAAAGACCGTGCATGATGAAAGGAGACCATGAATGGAGCTACACAAATGAACACGTGGTGATTTTGAAGGGAAAGCTGCACCAAGGTCCGGCGAGCTGTAAAATGCAGTCAAAATCGAGTGCCATTTTATTTGTTCAAAAATGATTTGAATTATTGGAATGCACAATTTTTTTCAATATGCAAATAAAAAGTTTAAAACATTCTCTGGTTCTTGTATTTTTCTATTGTTGCCCCTGACAAGTCATGGCACTGGAAGAAAATTCTGGTGAGCACAAACGGAGCTCAGCCTACAGTGGTGATATTTTACCAGAAATCTAATTGGTGCTTCGCTGACCATGGCCACTATGACGGTACTGCTTGCATTTAATTTGTTTTTTAGACTTTATAATACTTTAGTAATAGTAGTATGGGTTTCTCACTGGGTGTGGTCTGCCTTTTTGCTTAGTAACTTACCCCCCCTCTTGCATGAAATTAGTAATACTTATAGAAGGCAACCACTGGAATGTATAATCATGTAGTTTTAATTGTGGTTGCATTTATAAATCTAAACTTTGCTAGTGCATGAATGATCTTGCCAGTGGCTTCAATGTATTCTTGAGCAGCTCTTAATATGCAATTACAAATGGGTTTGCTTGGTAAATTGAAACAACTTGTGTGGTGGGGGTTTTTTCCCCAGCAGTTACACACTAGCTAAAATGTATAACTCTCCTGCTTTGTAGCTGGCAGCCTGTCTAATAAAGGGTTTTTGGGTATAAAGTGTAGTCTCAGAGTTCACTTTAAGGTTTTTGTTTTTTTTTGCCATTGTGTGGATCTGGCTGCAAGCAGTGTCCTGTCACGTGGAGGCCATTGTTATGAGGGCAGGAAGAAAAAGGAGGGGCTGGAGCAAAATCCTGAACAAAAATGAGGTTAACCCTTTAGTTGCAATAGTAATGGGTCTGTATCTTACTAGAGTATTAGGACAGTTACATCCTGTCCAAACAAAAATAAATCTCTGATCTCAATGTTTATGTAAACTATTAGCTTGCTTTTGTGTATACAAGGTAATTCAACATACAATAATAGCCTCAGTTTTTACAGCATGGGGGTGAAATTAAATCTTGCTTAAGGGCTCAGTGTTTTCACATCTGTGTGTTTAAATAAGGTTTGACTCAATGTGACTTTAAAATGTTGCAACATGCTAAACTGGAAAGGTTTACCATGACTAATCTGTGTAGTCTGCTTTCAGGGCATGGCCAGGCAGCACTAGATAAAGATGAAAGCTGCAATTATCAAGATGAGACATTCTCCAGATTCAGCTATGTAACTGCGCAGGCAGAGAGGCTTGTGTGGCCTAAAGTCTTGGAGGGCCACATCCAGCTGATGCGGCATCCCCCCTGGGGCTAGGATTGCACTGCAAGCTGCCAATTCTTTTTACCTTGCCAGTGTCACTTTTTATATAATGAAAATAGAACAAATGGTTAGTTCTGTGCAGCTTTTTACATTTTTGAAATGCTATCTTGCCTGCCCCTGCTAAATGAATGTTTGTTATTCAAATAAGACTTCTAATTGACACTTTGTGTTGCATGTGCTATAGATGCTGTTGTGCCTTCAGAAATTTTACCTATGGGTGACTTGGTTGTCTTATTTGCAAACCTTCCAGCGAAAGGCGTTTCCAACGTTTTGTTATGACTTATGGAAATGCCTCTAGCTGATGCCTGAAAAGTTGCGCAATGCTAATCTGTTGCATATTGGTCCCTACGATACTGCATAATCTAGAGCTGGTAAGTCATTACAGATGTTTACATGCAGTTTTAAAAGCTACCAGCATCTTATGGCTTTCATTAACCCTTCAATTCTAGGTTAGAGCGTAAGGGTTACTGAAGCAAGGCTGTCCATAACTTGTTTGATACAAGGGAGGACAATATGTTTTTTACCCTCACCAAGATCCAGATGTGCTATGGGTCTGCTGACATTTGACCCTTCTCTACATATCCACCTCCTATGGTTACACCCCCGCCCAACTATTAAATATTAGCAGGTAACTACTTTTCAACTATAGATGTTTATTTAATTTTTTTTCCTTCAGTTCCCACATTCCTTGGTGTGGTACTTGAAGTTCCAGTTTGCATGTTATCTCAAAATCATGGCCTTCAATTGTTGCTAAAGGCATCTTTAAAGTACTCCTATTATAGAAAGCACTGTCCTACTTTTGAAAATTCAGATTACAGAGCTTCAATAGTCAAACCCTGAAAACACTTGCAGCACATGGCTATCAGAATGCCTCATCTCTTCACTTGGTTTTTAAGTGGCTCAAAGTATTAAAGTCAAAGCATCTGCGTAATGGCCAGGCAACTAGCACTTTCAGAAAGGTCAGCAATGGCAACCCACTTTTTTTTCCCTTAAGTTTTCTTAAAAGCCAAGGTTGATGGAGATGCCGCTTTAACCCCTACAACTGTTGAGACTTTTAGCTGACTTTTAGGGAAATTGGGAGATGTTTAGTGTGCATAATCATGTAAAAATCTGCTCTCTTGGAGCCAACTACAAGCAATTAACCCTAAAGCTGCTATGAAAAAGAAGAATCCCTTGAAAATCGAAAGTGACATAGCGCTATAGGTTCACCTTTAGTGCTGTCACTTTTTTTTTCCCCAGTGTACATAAACTGCTCCCAAACTCTGCTTATCCCTACAAATGTGTATAATCTTTTGTTTATAATTTAATCTGCTTCAAAGAAACCGGCCTGGGTTGCTCTGACATGGCTGTTAGGCTGGCCATACACTTTTTTTTCCCCCCCTCATTAAACCTGTGGGCTGAATGAGAGAACCATTCAATTCTCTCATCCAGTTTATACAGTGCGGGTGGAGTAACCCCTGCCAGCGTTTGTATGCAAGCAGCCGCAGGAGTGTGGCTACTTGAATGCTCTAATGTTTATGGCCGCTGTTTGGCTGCCAATTTTCTGTCTGGCTCCTTGATTTTTCAATTGAAGTTTGTTGGGCTGGGTGCGGCTGACAGGGCCCTGAAGGGAAGCATCCCCCTTTTCATTTCTAGGTTTTGCAAACTATTAAACTGATGGGTGAATGCATGTATGCATTTAATATTGCAGTTCTATTACAGTTTTTAGCTCATTATTTTTTTTTTTTTTTTTAATCTTTGCTATAAACAAAAAAAATCCAAAGCTAGGGGTAGGCAACCTCAGCATTCCAGCTGTGGAGGAAACTAGAAAACCCATTATGCCTATCTGGGATTCATGCCTGTGAATGTGTCTTGCAATGACTCAGCTGACTTGTAGTTCCACAACAGCTGCAGTGTTAAGGTTGTCTACCCTTGTCCTAGACCAACAGCATATGGAGCTTTTTAAACAAATCCTGCCAAAATGTAAACTTATTATAAACCACTTTTAAGGGTTCATTTTGCTTTGCACTAAAACCCATAATGATCCTCCACCATCCTAAATGACCATCCTAAATGACCGTTCTATCTCAGATGCAGACATTCCACTGCTGTGACTTGCCCAGGGCTGACCTACTGACCTCTGATGCCTCACATGACAAGGCCCTTCCTTACAGCATAATGGCCATCTCTGGCAAAAGAATGACACCTCTTATCAGAAGAAGTTTAAAATGCCACAGACAGGATGCTTTAATGAGCACAGCCAGATGTCTAATGCTGGCCATAAACTGCTCAAATTTCAGCCGAATCCTGAGTGCATCAAAATTCGAGCAGTGTGTAGCCCTGCCACCACCCTTCCTTCTGAAGGGTTTCCATTGACTTTTGTCAAAGGAAATGTTTCAAAAATTGTTGGCCAAACAGTGACTTCAGTCAATCACGTTCTGCCAGCGACAGGTATACGGTAGGTTATCAGAATACAATATTTGACAGATGAGATTCCCCCATCTATGCTGTTTAGCAGGGATGAGTCAAGCAAGTGTCTTTTTTTTTTTTTTTTTCTTTCTCTAGTTAAACACTGCATGAACAAACGCATAGTGCATGGCCAGCTTTTACTCTATATAAGCTTTGTCATTTGGGCAGTTATGATGGGGAGGGCATGTGGATTTTTGGTGCACTTACCCCTTGAACAAATTTACATTGCAGCCATTTAGCAATTATTGTAGTATAACAAATCCGGTCAGCTCTTACGTTAGGTCAAGCGATAACCCTATAAATAGTATGATTATAAATGAAAACTAAAAATCATGCCACCAGAAATTTCTGTCAAAATACGGCTTCATTAGAGCAAGAAATGCTTATATGAGAGTCATGGCCATGGATAGAGTAAGGGGAATTGATCAAAACTGGACATATAGAATAGCAATTGCCCATGGCAACCAATCATGTTCAAAGCTTAACCAAACAAACTAGAAGGTAATTGGTTACTATAAGTATTTGCTCCAGATGCTGTCTGCTCCAGTTTTGATCAATTCCCCCCAAACTATTTGCAGAATCACCAGATATAAGTGCATTGCTTTATTCATCCTTTATCTTGCTTAATGTAGGATGTCCTCAGTGCTTCTCTTCACTGCTTAGGCAACTTAGGGCTACTTCTCATCCTTTAGGTCAGGGGTGGGCAAACTCTGGCCCTCCAGCTGTGGTGCAACTTCAAATCCTATGAGGCACTGCAAGACTGACAGCCACAGGCATGGCTCCCAGAGGCAGATGCATGATGGGATTTGTAGTTTATTCACAGCTGGAGGGCCAAAGTTTGCCCACCCCTGTTCTAGTGCTAATAGTGAGATCTGAAGCTCCTATAATGCAGACAGAATAGTCTGCAATTTATGTGGACTAGCAGCCATTTTGTCTAACACTAAAGCCTATGTCAAGGCAAACAAAAATGCAATACATTCACATTTCCCTGTGATTTATGTTTAACCCTTTTAAATACCTTGCAAGCACAGACAAATACCTGATTTGCCAGAAATGCACTCTGCTCCTATGTTCCTGTTATAGGCTGATAACACAGTATTCTTGTGGACTGGTATCAGCCCCGTGCGGTGTATTTTTTCTAAACTCCTCAGCCCCTCCCACTCCTTGTTCTCTACACCATATTTATAGATGGAGATGCAAGTATTCCTAAGAATGAGTGGACCTATATGGGTTGGACGTGATGGACGTATGTCTTTATTCAACCCCAAATACAATGTAACTATGACAGCTCTGAATTTCTGACAAGATCAACAGGGTTTTATTTATTTATTTATTACAGGCATTTATAAAGCGCCGACAATTT